GCCGTACCTTATCTTTGGCCCGTGTTTCACCGTACAGTATCCGTTGTCCGAAATTGCCGCCAAAATGGCACGATGTCGCCTTCTCTTTTACAATCGGATTAATATCCTTTCAGAAAATTTTTGCCGGAGCCTCATCGTAGAGCAGAGTGAGACCGAACTCGTTACACCCGGCCTGAAATAGAACGAACATGACGAATAACGTCATCGTTGGCGTATTTCTAGCCTGCATTTCAGCAAGTGAGTGTAATACTTTCGATCATTTTATCCTTAACTTTGATGAAATCGAACTCTCTGTAGGCCTTCACATAGAATCTGCACTTTACAGCATCTTTCGTTCCATGGCACATTAATTCGCGTTGCTAATAGTTTTAATCTGCTCAATTATATTATTTTTCGAGGCGGAGGGTGGTGTAATGAGCGAAGTGGGCGCGCCCAAATTTTTCGAGGTTTTTTATAAGAAAGTCTAAAGCCTCGAGGATAAAATCTTCGCCGTTGATCAGTCCCTTTTGAGGTAAGCATTCCACTTCCATATTCAGGATCACAGTGGTGATTGAATGCGAGGTGACATATGCAATGACTTGTGGGGGCCAGCCGATGTACAAGTGAGTGTCATTATCCTCCCAGATGGCCGCAGACGCAAGATTCCCAAATCTGGTGCAAATTTACCAGTCTCGGGTTATAAAGCGCTTGTTGACAATGAGCGGGAGCCGATACCGGGACTTGATCCCCAGACTGTGCGCGTGATAAGGATGCCGTTTGCCACTACACCACCTCCACCTCTCTTCCAACGATTCTTCATTTAGACATAATAATAAGGAGTTTCTATAGTATGGGTGAAAATAGAAGCATTTCATCAGCAGCCTCTCTTCTACCCATTCCACACCTAGACTTATGGCTTTTCAACGACACCATTACATCGCAACTCCCTTCCTGACTCCTGATTTTATCCTGCCTTCAGCCTCCTTTTCATGATTTAGGTTCAATTTTTGGCGGTAGGAACGTTCATGATACCTCTGGTGTAAAACACCGCTGGCCACGGTCACTTTCCCGCGCCCCATTCATCGATATTCTCTTGTGAAAATATATTTTTCAAATTGTTTTCCACGTGAAATGAGTACTTGGCTATTTCGGTTCTAAAATTAGGAATATAGAGGGAACGCGAATTAAATTAGGGAATTCTCATCAGTTTCTGAACGATATCCCAGTGGGCTGACACGACTTCTTATTTCCGTTCACAGTGTACTACAGGTAGGTGTTGTCGTGGAAGCTGGCATTGTTTTACTTCGGAAGCCTTCCATTCCTCAGGGGTTGTTATTTGGTTACTGTTGACGTGCCTCGTTTGGAAACATAGCCACAATGTCTTATACAATGGCTGGTCCCGCAAGGTCTGGCACGGGCTACATCGCATTCAAAATGCTATTATGATTGTGAATGGGAGATAAATGCGTAGCGCATTCTAGGGAA